ACATCTCTTTGTGGCTCCAGGTGCTTCCTTCTCTCAGAAGAGGCTGAGAGTTGCTCCACTCTCTGTGGGCACATAAACCTTTAGTGTCACCCAGTGTCAACAGATTTGATAGAGGATACCATGATAGCCTCCCTGCTCCAGGCCAAAACTGGGGCTTCAGTGCTCCCCTTGGTGAGCAGCTGAGGCAGGCTTGGCCAGCCCTCCTCGAGGGAAAGCAGCTCTTCTTTGCTGCCTGTCATCGCCTTGCTCCTCATGACTTCCTCTTCATTTATGGCGGCTTTTAAGGATAACACCTGTCTCGGAGCCTTGAACACAGATTCGTTCCCTATATCTAGTATTTATATACCTTTTGTATACCAAACATGTAAAATTCAGGCTTTGCAAAACATAGACTGCTAAATTCCTTTGGCTACTGAATTTTGGTGGCCCACAGACTTTCATAGCAGGTTTTCTAGCAAACCTATTGCCAAAACCAGCCAAGTGCCTTGGCAATGCAGGTTTTCTATGCCAGAAAAAAACAAAAGGCAAACCATATTACAACACTCTGTATTGGTAATGGGTACAAATGATAATTTAAAAAAGACTGGGCTAACTGCAGCTCAGCCTTTTGCTTCTCATTGTTCGTGTCAGCTCTGGGGAGACTTTACTCTGTTGGAAATAATGCTCGTACCTGCAAGGCCGGTGTTTATGCAGTGCTGTGTCAGAGAGTTCTGGCAGCAGACTGGGATCTCTGTAGCAACTCCCCAGGTGCTAAATCCAGTTTTGCCGTTTCAGCTCCCCCGTCGGGCTCTTACAGTGCCAATAAGCAGAGTCCCTCCAAGCGGTCACTGGGCAGCACGTGGAGCAAGATTCCAGCCCTCATACTACCAATATGGTATTGTAACATCAAACTGGTCATTATGGGGCCGCATCCCGGCTAGTGTACAGCGGCAGCGCATCCCTGCGCTGCCTGAACGTTACACATACCCTCAGGCTCCTCCCCTCCTCCCCAAGGGCTGCTGCCTTATTAGCACACAAAATAATAATAAAAATAGACCTCTCCCTCCCCTGACCACTTTTTTTTTTTTTTTTTTTTAATAAATAAGTTGAAGGAAAGGCTTCAAACAGCAAATAAACCCAGCTTCTTCAGCTTTGTTCATTCTAGGATTTTTTTTTGTTGTTTGTTTTTTAACAAAGGGCTCTAGAAATCAGAGGA